ATACACGTCGGCCGGTAACAAATAGAAAAATATACGTATATGTAATAAATATGTTCGTCGTAGTAAAGCAAAATACATAAAACACAAATTAATAGCTGCTTGATACTTCAAGACTATTTTATTTTTTGTGTAATTGCTTAATGTCAATACTAATTAATAACAATTAAATAATTGAATTGATGTGTCTATATTTACAATACTTTTCCGAATATTCAATTACTCTATATCATTAAACTGCAGATAATGGCGTTTACACAAGTTTACACTTGTTAAGAATAAAAAATGTGAGAGACTGACACATAGAAGAACAGTAAGTTTTGTCTATCGCACAAAGTATTATTAAACACGGACACATACGTTCAAAATAAAAAAAAATCATTAAGGATGTAAGATCAGGGTAGATAAACTGAGTACAGTAAGACAATGTAAAAAATATGCTTATTATAATTGATAATGCCTAATAATGCGCACTAATGCTGATATTTTACAAGGAGATACACATATAGGTACATTCGAAGCAATGCAATTGTTTCATAATTAAATTCTGCATTGTCCTTATATAAATAATTGTTGTACCTAATACTTACTACCATTATATATAATAACAAATATATATACATATGTGTACATATACATACGACATTATACGATGACTAATATAATATATATGTATACATATATGTATATATAATATATAGACATTAATTTAATCCCAATATGGGTAAATTATATCGTTTGTTTCATTCCATTTACAAGTGGCAAATTCACTGTCCATTTGCGATTGTTTATATTTAGCTAAAACATTTATTATTCAGGATACACTTCTTTGCGACCTATCGTTCACGAATAGCGACACGCACGTGTACGGTACAAAAATTAATCAATACCTCAACAAGTGCATTTGGCACAGAGAAACTGATAATAAAAGCTAGATATCCCGCGAAATCCTGTACAGAGTTCTGATGTCAAATGACAACTGTGTCGTCCTTCCGTTTAATCTGATACCCCTATAGTCTACAAAGTGATTCAACATAGTTTCATTTTATTTGATTTCAATTACGATATGTATTAAAATTATGTTAATCCTGAAAGTACGTCATGCATCTTTGAAAAAGTTACACGAATAACGCTAATACAGTACGTATATTACTGTTTAGAACTATGCTGTTTAAATGTTCAATGGCAGTAAATGATTTAGATACCCTTATAATTAGCCAGAGCAATCTAGTTTTACTCTCAGAATCTGTGCCATGTTTATGTCGTTCGATATCATTCATTATTATTAGATCGACAAATTAATGCACCGCGTGTCCTCTTGTCTGTGTAGGTTGCAAAAGAAATCTCAACGTATTACAGTTACTAAAAATATAAAAAAAAATGAAATTATTTCGGCACTTCTTATTAAATTGAAACTTTAATATTATATTACAGCTATCTAGTACTGAACATTCGTCTACATGATTATAATACAAAATGAAGAGAATGATGATAGTGAGATGATTATGCATATATAAGTAAGATTATTAACGATTATTCGCATATATTATTACAGCAGATAGATGATGAAAATGAATATGACTTATTCGTATGCGTAATTTTTTTTTCATTTTTTCTTAAGTTCAGTCATGTGTTCATGCAGTTGCCTCCTACAGACAATGTTTCTCGACGTAAAACAATTTACTAAAGAATTTCCAAGGTTTCTATTTCAACAAAAATCAAATTCATTCCGTCCAAAAAAATGGTCACGGACTTTTTAATTACAACGAATTTACATAAAATTATTCAATTACATCGTAGCAATCTATTCTTGAATATTACTCATTGATGTAGGGCACACAGAAATATGGAAAATAAAATATGTTCATAAACTTGTTTAAATAAATGTAATTCTTAGTTTCAATCATAAAATATTAAAGCGGTATATAAAATAAAATTGATGTTCTACAAAGTGATTCAACATAGTTTCATTTTATTTGATTTCAATTACGATATGTATTAAAATTATGTTAATCCTGAAAGTACGTCATGCATCTTTGAAAAAGTTACACGAATAACGCTAATACAGTACGTATATTACTGTTTAGAACTATGCTGTTTAAATGTTCAATGGCAGTAAATGATTTAGATACCCTTATAATTAGCCAGAGCAATCTAGTTTTACTCTCAGAATCTGTGCCATGTTTATGTCGTTCGATATCATTCATTATTATTAGATCGACAAATTAATGCACCGCGTGTCCTCTTGTCTGTGTAGGTTGCAAAAGAAATCTCAACGTATTACAGTTACTAAAAATATAAAAAAAAATGAAATTATTTCGGCACTTCTTATTAAATTGAAACTTTAATATTATATTACAGCTATCTAGTACTGAACATTCGTCTACATGATTATAATACAAAATGAAGAGAATGATGATAGTGAGATGATTATGCATATATAAGTAAGATTATTAACGATTATTCGCATATATTATTACAGCAGATAGATGATGAAAATGAATATGACTTATTCGTATGCGTAATTTTTTTTTCATTTTTTCTTAAGTTCAGTCATGTGTTCATGCAGTTGCCTCCTACAGACAATGTTTCTCGACGTAAAACAATTTACTAAAGAATTTCCAAGGTTTCTATTTCAACAAAAATCAAATTCATTCCGTCCAAAAAAATGGTCACGGACTTTTTAATTACAACGAATTTACATAAAATTATTCAATTACATCGTAGCAATCTATTCTTGAATATTACTCATTGATGTAGGGCACACAGAAATATGGAAAATAAAATATGTTCATAAACTTGTTTAAATAAATGTAATTCTTAGTTTCAATCATAAAATATTAAAGCGGTATATAAAATAAAATTGATGTACCCCGTAAGTTTAAATGTATCGAAAATTACTTTGTAGGAGAGTCCTTCTTCTTATTATTTTTCTTAAGTGGAAAGCGTTTCTTACGATAAACGTTCTAAATTCGTAACTAGATCTTTGAGTTATATTCAAAATTATTTGCGAGTAAACGCAAACATAAATGCAAACCACATTCAATTATGTTTGCATTATGAGATTGCCTTTTTTAAGTCAATAAAGAAAACTTTTTAGCACTTCCAAAAACATACAATCTTCTTCTAATCATACGATATTGTACCCAATGAAATTTATGCTAAATTAGTAACTGTTGCTTTTACTTTCTGCTAATCTCTGCCATTGTCCGAGATCAATTCGTTACACAACGAAAGTTAATAACACAATCATACATTTAGCAGCACAGACCACAAATAGTAAGTTTTTCTATACCATGAGGAACACACGCGAACTCCTTTTAAAATTATTATATTATTCAAATAGACGGGGCTACGAAGCAATGTCTGACATAAGTTGGGCCAATAAGGCTGGCTCTAAAAGTCCGTGCGTGTGCCCCATTCTTTCCAAATTCCGAACATCCTTATCCACTGCCTCCAGTGCTCTCTCCAATTCTTCTTCCTCCTCTCTCGAAGGTTCATACTCTCCATTTCTACCTTCTAGCAGAAAAAGAATACACCTTTTCTACTACCATGTTGAATATAATGCATGATGCGTGCATAATTTGCCAAGATAAATACACTAATCGAAAAAATTATAGCTTCACGAAATTTGTCTCGAAATTACCCAAATTTGGAAGATGATTACTTAACAACAGATTATCGTAGGACGACGACTTTTCTCTTAAATCAAAGCTTGAAACATCAATCGGAGATTTCTAATTTGATTTATTTATTATTTCGATTTATTTTTTCATTAATATATATTTAATGGATTTATGTAAAATAATAGTAGAAAGATAAGAATATTTACCAATAAACAAGTCGTTAAAAGCATCGGCTGGTAAGTTGTTGAGTACGTTCCCAAAATCATGCTCCGCAGCGTCCAGAGAAGGAAACACTTCGTGATCGCCCAAATCTACTTTAAGTCCTGCTCCAAGGCCAAGTCCTAATCCTAAATTTAAATTAGCCGAATTCGAAGTTCCTTGTGCAACGGTGTTCAAATTACTCAAAGTTTTCGCCTGAGCTTCACTAGAGTTTACTTGATTCAAATATTGACTCTCCTCGTGTACCAGGGTGGGACCTTTGGTCTCGAGTTTGTTCGCAGGCGGCCGCTTTCTCTTCTTCGGCCTGGACTTCGGTTTAGGCCTAGGAATCGTGGGAGACGTCGGCTTTTTACGAGCTTTCTTTGGTTTAGACTCCTGGGCCTTTCGATGGTAATTATCCCTTTTCCTTGCGTGCTCTGGGCAAAGAGGCAATTCGTGTGCAACGTCAAACACAGGAATACAGCATTGTGTATTATCACTAAATTTGGCAGTGCAATGTTCAAATAGAAGTTGATCTCCGTTCAACATGATGTGGCGAGAACAATCCAATATATATTTAATGGATTTATGTAAAATAATAGTAGAAAGATAAGAATATTTACCAATAAACAAGTCGTTAAAAGCATCGGCTGGTAAGTTGTTGAGTACGTTCCCAAAATCATGCTCCGCAGCGTCCAGAGAAGGAAACACTTCGTGATCGCCCAAATCTACTTTAAGTCCTGCTCCAAGGCCAAGTCCTAATCCTAAATTTAAATTAGCCGAATTCGAAGTTCCTTGTGCAACGGTGTTCAAATTACTCAAAGTTTTCGCCTGAGCTTCACTAGAGTTTACTTGATTCAAATATTGACTCTCCTCGTGTACCAGGGTGGGACCTTTGGTCTCGAGTTTGTTCGCAGGCGGCCGCTTTCTCTTCTTCGGCCTGGACTTCGGTTTAGGCCTAGGAATCGTGGGAGACGTCGGCTTTTTACGAGCTTTCTTTGGTTTAGACTCCTGGGCCTTTCGATGGTAATTATCCCTTTTCCTTGCGTGCTCTGGGCAAAGAGGCAATTCGTGTGCAACGTCAAACACAGGAATACAGCATTGTGTATTATCACTAAATTTGGCAGTGCAATGTTCAAATAGAAGTTGATCTCCGTTCAACATGATGTGGCGAGAACAATGACGGGTGCATGGTAAAGACGTCTGTTGACATCCGTCAGCACCGCAGAGTCCACCGACTAAAAGTGGTTCGTTCACCACCTTACTCGTACTCGGATTACCATTCAAAGCTCTCGCAGTCGATGCAGGGTCCTTGTAAGCAGCTTCCAGCAGACATCTGGCTCTGTCGCGTAACAAAATCTCTGAATCCGTCCCGCTCTTGTGTAACTGAAGCAATCTTCTTCTCAATTGAGAACGCAGCTGAGAAAGGCGAGCAGATCTATTCAACGTCGTACTACTTTCCCCGGGAAACCAGTAACGTTGATAAACCGTCATTTCATCTCCACTAGAGTCACTGTCTGATATCTCATCCCCAGCTCTGGGATAGTACAACAGCGTATGGTCCCGACTCTGCCTCCTGCCTCTTCTCAATCTCTGTAGATTCCCAATGTGATGCTGTTTGTGCCGGCCTGCTTTAGCGAATTTATAATCTATGTGTTCACCATCACCACTAGCACTGCCACCACCACCAACACTACAGTCAGCGTCTAATTCTACAGCATGATCTTGTACAACTTTGTATTCGGCATCTGGCACAGATGTTATTCTTTGTTTCATACATTTCCCTCTAGAAGTCTTACTATTTTTACAATTTTGCATTACTTTAGAATCTTTCGGCGACACTATTGAGACATTTCTTCCTGTTGCTGTACCAAACGGCTCCGGTTCACTGAAGATGTATGGGTCGACATCTTGATGAGCCTCAGTTTTCAACAAAGCCTTTAAACGATCCGAAAACTTCAATTTATTGTCCATGATTAAGTTCTCGGATGTAGGGACCTTCATTGATTACACCTTTTCTCGCCTCCTGTTCCATCTGCATCCTCAAAACCCTCCAAATCAACTTCTTCCTATCTAGATAAAACTTAGTTCACACCGTGTGCCTAAATCCAAGATCATACATAAATATCCTTCAATTTATAATACTGAGAATAAAAAAATAAAAAATTAATTTTATTGTATCGTATCACAGTTCAATTCTTTTGTATTTACTTGGGACGTGCTAATGCTCGTATATGCGTCGAGGCGGTACAACTGATAAAACGAATTCTTGTACAATATACAATGGATCATAAAATAATTGTGTACTACTTATGTCAATAATGTTAGTACAATGTGCACTCAGACTATCTTATTTACACGTATCGTCATATGTACAAAATTCAATTTTGTCATGGATCTCAATAGAAAGATTAAAATTGATTACCTATTATTCAGTATCAAACTTCTTTTAACGGATGTTTACAAAAAAATTGTATATTTATATGACAATAAAATTTGTTTGGTGTCGTCTAAAATTGCAAATAATACTTCAGCAGTCAATAATATCTAGATTGATTAAAGCTAACTGTATCAGTTTAAGTCTAAATTTGTATATCCCTGTACATAACATGTACTAGATTGTTATTGTAAAGTCTCCTGGTTCGAGCAATGAGCATGAACTTAATCCATGGCTAAATCAGGATAAAAACAATCCTTGCCTCGCATAGCAATTCACATCAAGTGTTCTTTACACATTTTCGTGCAATCTCACTTGATTGAACATGAAATCATTTGCCGTCGATCCCAATAGTTTGATCAATTTTCGACATAGCCATTTCAACAAGCGTTTGATCTTTAATGTTGACATGAGTACATAATTATGAATATCAACACTGTCTTGGTTAGGTTCACTCCTTATATAGGCAATGAGACACTGTGCGAGATATTTTAATCAAGTTTCGATAATACAGTTAGAAAAACTCATTTAACGAGCCCTGATGCATATTCGTGTGGTAGAACAATAGTAAACTGTTCACAAATACTTTCGACAAGTTCGCTTTGTGGACTTGTTTCGTTTAGGTTTAACCGAGGTTGGGACAATGGAAATTACTCCCGACAGTAATGGTGGTTGCTGTCCAATCAGAGGCAATTCGATCGTTTTCGTGCGAAATACACTTGAACAAGATTGCAGATTCACGCACAAATTCCAGCGTTCATCGATAATAACATTAGAAAGACATGTCAGATATAAGAGAAGCAAAATGGCGGGCGCTGCACACACGAACAGTTTCTGATACGAAAAATCTTTGAATTCCCTGTATTATCATTAGGAATTCGATATAAAAACATTTCACGCCTATGTTAAGTGTTAACTAATTTTATATGATAATTTACAAAAACATGATTCTACATCGTTCTCGAATACTTCTTCTAGAAACGTTTAGATCGTTCTACGTTATTCACGCTGACATAACCTCAACAACGGTCTTTCAAATCTAGTAGATCTACAATTCATTCTATTTCCATTTCTTTTAGACGAATAGACCAATATGTATGAAGAAATATGTACATTAGGAGAAATGTCATTTTCAGAACTGACATATTTTTTAATTAAATTTCCTTTGTTTTTCATTAATTTTTAAATTGTTGAAATGTCTGATTTATACAAATGTTGTATTTTTTGAATCAGCATTTTAAAGTAGCGTACGTATTAATATTATGCAAAAGGATTACTGTTTGCAAAATCCTCTGCTTACTGAAG